GAACAGCCACGTGTCGGTAGATCGATGATGATTCAGGCTCCCGAATTGGCCACTCTGCCCGAATGCGATATTTGTCCGAATGCTTCGTAAAAATTGTTGACTCGAGGTTTATGTATGTCTTGTCCCACGGCAGTTGCACAATGACAAATAAAAGCTCGCACTCATAATGTTGTTTCTAACGTTTGCTCACGCTGTCATTACCATAAATGTAGTAGGTCACCCAACCTTCATCGTTGTTTTGTTACTGTAAAACTTTGCACCGCTTCCCGTTGTTGGTTTCGCTGGAGGTGCTTTGGCCGCAGCCGCTGGTTAGGTCGGAAAAATGATCGAGCGAAAGCGACGAAAAAATCCGCGCGTAACGAGATACGTATCGGTTCTTACAGGCCCGTTACAAGGCTACGGCAACGCAGGCAGGCGGTGGTCCACACAACTACGAGTGGGCTGCCCGCGTGCGCCACGTTAAAACAAAATCTATCGCTGCCCACTTGTACACGCGTCAATGGGATCGCCTCGGGCCGATGGTTTTACACTGCAGCTTACGCGATGTTACCGGTAGGCGCGTTTTACATAATTCACGCCCTCGACGATGAATCGCCATCGCTGCACTGGGAACTACGATAATGGCCCGTAGGGTGAGAACGCGCCCCTAGGTCAGGAACGGTTTAATCGTTAGCGTTGAATTTCAAATAAGCCGTCGAAAGTGAGAGTCGAGCCCGAACGACGGGGCGCCATTGGCCGGGAGAGGCGAACGAGACGAAAACTTTCGTGGGAGTTGGTTTGGAGCATCGGCCGTAAATGGGGCTGTCAGGCGGCGATGCCTACGCGCGCAGCGCGACTACTCGGAATCGAAAAATCTACATAGAGGCGTGCAGACGGCACAAGGATGCAGCCTACTCGTCCGTCGCCGGCTACCGCAGCCCCCAGTCCATCGGCGCAAGCGAGCGCGCGACGGACAACTTGACTCTATAACTCGGCGTACCCGATCGATCGTAGCCGGCTGTTGTGGCTGCTGCATTCGCAGTGCGAATAGCGATACGCGATGCTCTGGCTGCTGCTGGATTAGCGCGCATATACGATTCTGACTTTGAAAGGCAGGCCGCCGCCGTTCTTGGCATTGCATCCCACTCGCGACGACGGAATCTAGGTCGCCGTTTGTTTATCAATGGCACGGCCGTCGGTCGTTTAATTGGATGCTTGAAAAGATCGCAGCGGTGCAGCGCAGTGCACGCACAGTCGGCGGGATAAGGCAGGCCGTTTTCTTTGCGTTTATATATAGAAATCCGGGAGTCGAGCCGGTGTCGCTTACCTCGGCGACACCGGCTCGACACCAAGCAACGACGGTCGGTCGCCTTTGATTTTTCAATCTCCGGCTTCGACCACGCTACTCGCGCGATCTGGGAAACGCACGTCATTGCGAAACTCGCGAATCGTCGCCGAGCCGAGCTAATGGCTTTCGAAAGCAAAAGAGGCCAGGTGCGAGCAGCGGAGCAAGGAGGAGAAAGGCTCCTATCGGCCTAACAAATTTGTCTAACGGTGAGCCGTGGACCGGCTCTCTCGCCGGCGCTCGCGAATAACAATGGCTCTCCGCAACCGCTCGTCACTGGCGCGCAACGGGGGTAGCAGAAGCGAAGCCTCTTGTCGCACGCGCATACGAGTAGTGGCAGCGCCTCGCGCGCAAATCGCCCGTCGTTATTCGTTCCCGTTCGTTCTATCGCCGGGGGATAATTTACGCTCGGCCGAGCTCTTTACCCATCTGTCTTTTCCTCTTGCCTCTGTCGCGCTCGCCGCTGCGCACTCCTGATTTATCTACTCTTTCGAAATCCCTCCTCGGACTTGTCACCGATCGCACGCTACCGCGCCGCCGCGAGCCGCCGGGCAAATTAAACGCGGCGCGCGTGTCGTCTGCGCGACGCTCACTGCGCGTCCGAGCCGGTCGATTCGTTAAAACGAATCAACTCTCCCCATAGCCAGACCGATCGGGCCTCGGCGTCGCCGTCGTTGCCCACCGTCGGCCCGATGGACGGCCTGGGCGCAATGCCCTCTCGCGCGATCATCGCTGCTACGGCGATCCGAGTACGAGCCGCCGTCTAGCTTTGCCGCGATCCAATTTCAAGAGCCAGGCGGCTTTTATTCGCGGCTAATTGGCTCGCGCGCCGCGCCGCACTCTGCTCCGCCAATGCCAAGCGCTCGGTATCGCGAAGCTACATCTGCTCGGACCAAGCTAGCTGCACCGTCGTCGTCCAGGCGTTGCCCGGCATTTCGCCCAACGGTTTCGTCTACTCTTCCACTCGGGCTATCGGATCGCGAGACTCGACCGATCTTAAGAACGAGCCGTTAACGATTTCGTATACAGTTACGCAATCGTCGCGCGACGAGACGTTGCCATTCGCCCGGCCAGCTGTAAAACTCGGAACGGATTCTCGCGGAGCTTGATCGCGATCGACAAGTCAGAGGCATATTAATCGCTCGCGCTCGCGACGGAGGCTTCCGCAACGCGAGCGCGGATAATAAAGAAACGAGTAGAACGACGAGCTATGGAATTAGGCCATCGAGCTAATAGCGGCGGTGGTGGCAGCCTCGTACTTTTTGCTCGACGCTCTCGCGCGGGTTATTAACTGCGCTAAATTTCACCGGCGCATTTTAATTGAGCGGCTACTCGCGAGCGTTATCTAGCGGCGAGAGTAGCGCAGCGCAGCGCACCGCCGACGTTTTCCGCATTGCCGGACGCGCGACTCGCCGCGATTCTTCGGCGATTCCGTTACCGGCCTCTGCGCGCGCGTGCTTCCCCCTTACTGCTCGCGGCAGCTGCTGGACTTTGAGCTGTTTAACGCGGCCGCGTTGCTCGACTAGGAGCTCGACACGCGACTCAGCGAGATACTTGCCGGAAGAAAACTGCGATCGGCGACTCCAATTTTCTCGGTACTCGCTCGAGGCGACGGAAGCGATTCGAAAATAGTGGAGGTGTTCTACGAGACACTCGACTGGGTATTTTTGTTCGGTCGTTCGCGGGCCCAATCACGGTGCGAGAGATTCGTCATTGAATAACGAAGGAGCGGGGGAACCAAAAGACGTGGGCTGGCGCGCATCGGCGATCAGCTGTGGCAGCAGCGCCGGCGAAAGCGTCTGGCAGATCGGCGGCGGGGTCATCAACATCGCGCTCGGCCAAGCAAAGGACGCGGTGACGCGGCGGCCGCTTCCCGAAATACGCGGGGCCCGCGCGCCCGACAGCCGAGCCACGAGGGAAACTTGCCGCAATGCTGCAGCAGTTCCACGCGACTGCTCTTGCCCGGCGCGTTCGTTTCTCCCGTTTCACTTGCTCGCTTACTTGCTTTTAGAGCGATACCCTTATCTCTTCCCTCTTTCGCATTTTGCTTACGCGGCTGTCGCGTGCGCGTCGTCGACCATTGGCGCCGCAGCGATGCAGAGCCGAGCCAGAGTTTACGCGTGATTACGTATTACGGTACCGCGGAATGACGCTCGCAACGTTTCATCGAGGCTAAGAGTTGCAATGCGGACTATTTATAAATCGCGGCGAAGCTCGCGCGAGCCAACGAAACGACGCCGAGGCTTGCCAAAAGTAAGGGCTCGGTGAGGAGCACCGCGCCGCGACGAGAAGAGGAGAGGGCTAGAGGGAGAAGAGAAAGCGCCGCGAGCTTGGGATCGTCGCTGGCAGCTGGCGCGCGCGCGCGCGCGAATAGAGGAGACCGCCGCGAGTGCGATCCGAGTGAAAGTGGCGAGTGCAGCGTCGGGCTCCTTGCCGAAACGCACGAGTATGCGGCGCGAGTGATCGCCGGCCGAGGAGGGCGGCATGCCGCTGAAAGTCGAGAGCGGCACGTACACGGTGAACCGGCGTGCGCCCGATGCGCCCGATGCGCCCGATGCGCCCGCCAGGAAGCTCTCCAAGTTCTCGCTCTGGAGGCACTGGCGCCGCAGGTATGCCGCGCGCCTCTCGCCTTCTCCGCAGCCCCGTCGTCCTCCGGCTGCCCGCTTGCTTCTGTTCCGCCTTCCTGCTTTTCGGGACCTGCTGCGAGCGCCCGCGTTCCTTCGCGAACGACCTCGTTTCGAATGGGCCAGAGCGTTCTCAATTGGTCGTTCGAATGCACGTGAATGCTTAACCAACGGCGCAGCCACTGCGGCACGCCCACTTCTCAAGTTGACGCGCTCAAAAAATAGCCTTTGATCGCTTCTTACGCGAGCTGTCGGTTTGTCAGGCTTCTCGATTCTGAAGCTCCGGGTTTTCTCGTCAAAGAAGCGTGTCGCTTCTTTGCGATACGGTCAGCGGTATTCCAGGAATCGTTACTGACGCGCCGAAAACGCAGCTGCGTCGCACGTAGAGCGCATCAAACGTCAAACGCACCTAATTAAAAAACAATACGGACGTTGGCCCAGGCACGAGAGCGCGCGAGGCACCTATTCGACGAATTTCCGTGTCATTTCCGTGTCCCGTATCACGCGCTCTGCCCCTCCGTTTTGGCATTCGCCTTCCTTCGCCTTCCCGTTTGGGCTGGCGCACTTCACCCGAGCGCCGTCAATGTCATCGCGAAGCTTTTTCGCGAGCTCGAGAGGCGTTACGACGAGGCTCGGCAGCGACGCTCGCGCGCGTAAAGCCGCGCTTCCACTTTGACGAGCTCGACGAACGATCGGGGGGCGGTAGTCAATAGCTGCGGGAAATCGGCCCACGCGGCGTTCCGCTCGAGGCTGCCTCGGTATTTTCGGACTGTCGGGAAGCTCTAAGCTGTATGTGCTATTAATCCTCGTGTGACTGTTTTGCTCGGCTAATTGGGCTTCACCTTCCTTCGACAAACAACAGATTCCGTCCTGGAACTATTGTAACATGCATGCGCGCGCGCGTCTCAGTAGCGTAGATATTTTTGTGCAATTAACGAAAACGAGCGCAAGAGTGCTGCACGCGCGCCTGGAAAGCCACGGAAACGTGGAGAGGATCAAGGGGACGAGGACGGAGCGCAAAACAACTGACTGGTTATGATTGGGTGTGTCAGTGTGCACGAGGATCGGGGCTCGTCGCAAGAGTGGAGAGAAGTGGCTGGGGCCGGGGAACCTGGACCCCTTCCCAGGACGAGTCGGCGCTCGAGGCCCCACTCGCTGGCCGTGCAGCCGCTCAACTACCAGCGTCTTGACCCCGACGAGCAACAGCAGCAGCAGCAGCAGCAGCAGCAGCAGCTCCCAGTTCAGAAGCGAGCAGCGGTCCAGACCAGCACGCATCCCAATATGACCAGCCAGGAGAGCATCGGCAGCTGTAGTCTCGACGTCGAGAGATCCGCCTCCGACCGATCAGGTTCGCATCCGCACCTATTGCCCCAATCCCAGCTACTTGCTCCTTCGCTCTGTTTTGCTGCGATCCTGCGATCCTGCGACATTTTCATCGGTATCTCGTCCACCAATCCAAACTCCTCGCGCGTAGGCGTGTGCGAACGACTACTCGACGATTAGTCGTGCCGCGAGAGAGAGAGAGAGAGAGAGAGAGAGAGAGAGAGAGAGAGAGAGAGAGAGAGAGAGACTCCCAGGCGCTGTGGGCGTTCAGTGGCAAACGGATCGCTTCTGCGCTGCACGTCGCTCGGGGCCTTTGGCAGTTACGCGATCGGCCGTCCAGGAACACTGGCAGCTTGCAAGCCGAGCCGATGCCGAGTGCGAGACAGACCTTTGTCATTGTGCATTTGCTAATCGATGCTCTTTGCCAAGTCGAGCAACACGTTGCTCACGGCAACCTCGTCCGCACTGCAACGAACCAACTGACGACCCACGACAGTGCGCGGCTCTGCTCTTTTATTTATCCGGAAACTCACGAGTTATTTGCCAATTGCCGGCGATGCTCGCGGGCTGTGCGCCGCAAGAGCAGCTGCTCGGAGGTGAGATCGAGAGCGAGTTATTAGCCGAGAAGATGCTAGCGCGTTGGGAGTTCGAGGGTGCCCGATCGGGAGAGAAAAGGGCAAAAAGGAGGTCGGAGACGCGGCGGATAGCCGAGCTATTCCGAGCGATCCGTCCGTCTCCGTCCGCTCGCTCGTTCTCGCGGGCATCCGGCGAGACTGTGAGGCGGCGAGCGCGCTGCCGCGACGCGCTCTTCCTTCCGACCGCCTGCCGCTCGGCCGAACTCGGACCAGCTGGGCGGGCGCGCGCGACGACCGGCACTGCAACGCGCATGCCTTCTCCTCTTCTATTTCTCTTCTACACTACGCGGCTATACGTCCGAGCGGCGCGCCATCAATCAGCGTGCCGCGCACGGCTCTATACTAACTGTCTCGCGGACGGATAGAAAAAGTGCGTCTACGCGGAGATTACTCACTCGTCGCGCTCCGACCGAGTCGAACTGACTTACTCGTGTGATCGAGTACGTAACACGCTGTAAAAATATTGTCGGCCAATCGACAACTCTCCGTCGTCGTCGTCGTCGTCGTCGTCGTCGTCGTCGTCGTCGCCGTCGTCGCCGTCGCCACCGTGAGCACGTCGATCGGATTGGTCCTCGGCTTCGGCTTTCGAGCACCGACGTTCCGGTGGTAAGACAATCTAAGACCAAAATAGCCAGCTAAATTTAAAGGTCTGGAGGGCCGAATCGGAGTGGCGCCGTGCAGTGCATTCGAGGAAGGCCGGGGCTTAGAACGTGGAATGGTCGAGCGCGCCGCTGCCTCCGGGGATCGATATAAATATACACGTGCTCTCGGTCGCCCAAGCGCCGCGCGTCTCCTGGAAAGCGAGCGTGGCGGGCCTGTCCCGAGCCGCCGCCGCCACCGCCGCCGCCGCCGCGCTGCCTCGGCGCGCCCGGCGGGCGGCCGCTCAGTCTGGCGCTGTTCCTCGTGGGCTGCACGCCCGGGCAACGAGGGCGACCGAGAGCGGGCTCCCTTGCACGTCCGATCGTCGCTCGCGATCTATAGCTCCGCTTCTTTCCGCACTCTCCGCAGCAGATCCGAACGCAGGCTCGCCGTCGGAGAAGACGCTGCACAGTCTGAACTTGGAGTGCAACGGCGACGAGGAGGCGACGCAGGCCGGAGCGAAGCAGCCGAGGCCACGAATCGAGGTGACGCGGCCGGCCGAGCCGGAGGACCGCCAGTCGAGTGCTAGCCCAGTGAGCAATGGGCGCCAGAGCCGCAAGCTCGCAGGCGCAGGCTCGGCAGCACGCGAGGAGGCCAACGGCACAGGCACTGGCAGCGACCGCGAGCAGCTGACCGGCAAGAAGCCGCCGAGCTATCTGGGCCTAGCCTGCAGCATCAACGGCTACACCGGCATCACCAGGTACGACAGCAAGCTGCGCGAGGGCTTCCGCTCCCGAGACAGCAGCCCCGGCGCCCGGCTGCTCGCCAGGGACACCAGTCCCGCCGGATTCAGGTACGCGCGCCACCCGGTCGGCCACCTTGACGGGCCTCGCGCGAACCGACGAACCGACGAATCGACGACCCACAGGTCCAGCGAGGCCGTCGACGCGTCGCCGAGCAGCCTGCCGCCAAAGAGCCAGTCGATATCGCCGCTAGCGATGGACCGCAACCGGCACAGCAACGGCTTCGCCAAGTGCCTGCAGGGCAAGTGCAAAATCGACGGCCACCTCGAGACGACCAGCGGCGGCAGCGGCGGCAGCGGCGGCAGCGACGACAGCATCGGCTGCGACAGCGGCGACAGGAGGAGGACCCTCGGCGGCTCCTCCGCTTGCCAGGATTACTCGGAGGACTCGGTCAACCGCGCGGCCAGCCCGGTATTCGCTGTCGAAGGCCGTTCCCCGCCCAAGAAAGACAGCGCCATCTACTCGTACATGAGCCCCTGCACCGTGCGCAGGATGCTCTTGGGCATAGGCGTGCCCGGCTTGTCGCCAGTGCAACACCAGCACCATCGTACGTTACGCTCCGTTCTTCGACAGCTCGTCGACGCCCGGCTGTCGGTCGCCACTCACACAGGCGTGCGCTCGGTTCGATTTCAGTTTCGCACGAGGCCAAGATCAGGAACGGCGTACTCCCCATTACCTTCAGCACCGAAAAGTCCTTCATTCAGCAGCGCATAGAGCGAATCTACGGACCATGTGCCTTGGCTCAAGGCTTCTATTTCCAGCGCCCCGCCTACAACAAGTGGCCCCCCGAGAAGACCGAACGCCCCTTCCAACCCTTTAAGCATAACAACACCTCCGCTGTAGATGACAGCAGCACCGAGCAGTCGCTCAAGAATCTGCCTGTGCTGCGACATCTCAAACCCGAGTTTCGCGCTCAGCTACCTGTCGTTAGCCCGAGGAGGCCCACCAACGGTGGTACCGAGCAGATCATTGAACCTTTGAAGAGGTAGACCTTGCCCACTTGTTGCGCTCTGCTCGATTTTCACGGAGCACCTTTGACTATCTCGTGCACTTTCAGAATGTCGATTTCGTCTGCGAAAAACGATACCAAAGAAACGGAAACGAAATCGAGCGCAGGCAAGATGGAAGACGACGCGACGACCGATTCAAAGGTCACGGACCAACAGCTTGCAGCGCCCAAAGTGGTTCTGCCTGTGATAGAGCCTGTGTCGAGCGACAGCTCGACGAATATTCCAAAACAAGGTGTCGAGCCGCCGCCTAACGAAACCAAGGACAAAGTCGGACGCTATTTTTTGAATGTGAGTGCACTACAAATCGATACTAACGCTACCAACGATCATAAATAGCAAAGTGCATCCTGAAGAATCATTTGATCGATGATTGCAGTTGCTGAATAAAGAAAGAGACAGGTTGATAGTTTTGGCTGAACAAGCTGAAGCCGAGTTGGAGCATAGCGGAGCAGTGGCTCTTCCGGAAGAAGCATCCGGCAAACTCAGGTCTGCAGCGGGTAAAGCAAGGTTGCTGGCGACGCAGAAAATGAAACAATTCGAAGGACTATGTCAGAAAAATATCGTTAGTATTCCAATATCATCCAGCACTATATATACCACATCTTGGTGCTTCACTCAAAAATACACTTCGTTATTTTCATTAGAATCAACTGCCTGGTGAGGAGTTTCCAACGACCAGTGAAGATCTCGCTGGTTTCTGGGATATGGTCATGCTGCAGGTAGTCCAAGTTAATCACCTTTTCGAATTAATCGAACGATCAAGAAACTCTCAATGGCAAGAGGTAACCATTCGTTATTTGTTTTACCGCGGTTTACTCAGTTCCAAATCCATTCTCTAATTCATTTTTTGCTTCGTTCGTTCAGATTGTACCAGAACAAAAGTCTGCTCCAACTACACCGCAAAATGGTAGCGCTTCAAAAAGGCGTCAAACGCCATCTTCAAAGGCTAAATCTGCTGCAAACTCCGAAGCTGCTCGCAAAACGCGCGAAGTACGAGAACAAACTCGTCGACAAATGCTTGAAGAGAAAAGACGCGCAATGAGATCAAATGCCAATAAATCGGATGATTCCGTGGAGATCTTTGTTCCCGACACGTAACAAATGTAATTGTATTATACATTCAGGGCCTCTTAATGGTTGAATATTTTTAAATAACGAGAAATCAAATTGTTCAAATTTTGAAAACTTATTTTTTCTTGGCGAATTTGTCAAGAATTTCATGAAAGTTTGAAAGTGTATTATAGAACATATTTACCTTAGACGTGATCTTAAATTATTCGACTCGAGGAAAGTGAAAACCGTTAAGACAAGATATTCCAAATTATTCATCGCGAGACATCGATGTTGTAAACAAACTAATTGACCAGAAAATTCAGATACTTTTTACAAAAATTGAATTTCTTTAAATTATCGACTATGATGAGAAAACAGCCAACAACATCGATGCATGTACATATTCTTGATACATTGAAAATTCAATTGAATCGAGACGAATAACAGCTCGAAATAAATTGTAATAATTAATTTTTTTACCATTGTTGAAGAAGTAATACTGTAATATTTTACGGTCATAAAAAACGATATTCGTCTATTCAAATGTGGCATTAATTTATTCAATCAGATATTTATAAATGTGTGTGAAAATGATAGCGTGAAAGACTGGTTTAACTTGGACAGAGAAATTATTTATATTTCCAAGAAAATTAATTGCATGGAAACTCTGATGCATTGTACTTGTAAATATTCATTCCATAGGCATTTGGCAATTGCATTTGAGCCTTTTCTGTTTGGGTTATCTATTTGGATAAATTCCTGTTGATATCATTTTTTATCTTAATTATATACAATTAAATTGCAAACTGTGAATTTAAAAACGACTATCAGAGTGGAGAGATTCATTTGTTTTTACTTATATTGAATTCTGCGAATACTCATTGAAATTTTGATGCTAATTGAACATTTACTTATTATTTCGACTTATAATTATTGGTATATTTATTTATTGTAAGCGTAAAATTACAGGCAAAGAATTGATTGTAATTTATCAGAAAAATTCATGTTCAATTGGTGTAAAAAGTATCAAGTACATAAAGTATTTGAGCCCGACTGGCGTGCGACTGTGCAAATGAATAAAAAATTGTACATAAGAGACACGTAAATGGTATGAAACCTATAATGATTATATTTTGATAGTGTTAAATTAGACTTGAAAATATCACTTTCACATTTATATTTCCCTTTTTTTATTTGTTATCTGTATAATAGTAATTTATACTCAATCTATTCATATACTTTTATATAAAGGCATCCACTATGAAGATTTTTCTAGACTTTTCGGCTTACTTTTGTCGAGTATTGATTTTGTAATTTAATTTTTTGGAGATAATTTTATACTGAGTTATTTTGAATTAAAATTCTGCAGATATAAAAGAAAGCTAACAACTTTTGAAAATTTGGTCGTTTTTACTTGGACTTTCACATTGCAATAATGGAGAAGCATAATTTAACATTATAAACAATGTTTGAATTCGTCGAAAGAAAGTGAACATAACAAATTCTTTGTAAGATAGCGTTTAAGACATATTTGTAATAAATTTCTAATCGGTATTAACCAAGCCCACAGAATTTGTTTTAATCTTTGAATAACCAACATCCCCCTTATTAAGTAAATCTTTATTTATAATTTATTGATGCATCAGTTTGTAATTATTGAATAAATAATGATTCTACGATAGTTCAATCAATGATACATTTCTGCTACACATTTTCCGAATACAGTATAAAACAATTTACATATAAAACTTACAGCTAAATTATGCTATCTAACAATAAAAATGTAGACACGACTTTGTTACGAATATAAACATTGAGACAACGGGTGATTGAATAGATGTATAAATAAAGGCTGTAATATATATTTGTAAATGGCACCTGGAATTCATACTAGAAATTTTTTGCGCGTACGTCTTCCGTACAGCTCAGTGTAATCTCATCGAGCAGATTGTTTTATCAGTAAGTCAGTTTTACTCTTAAACAAGACATATCAGACTTTTGCCTTCGTTCATTTTATCTTGGACTCTGTCGCTTGCGGTAGATTTTTCAGCTTGGCCGCTAAAAATCGCGCACGCAAATGTCAACACAATGCCCACTACGGCGCAATAAAATGCCCATCCTGCAAGTTTTGTCAGAGCACATGCAAAGATTGCATCGGAGAAGCGATCGCGATCGTAAAAGTTGTTTTGTCAGCGACTATTACTCACCTAAAGAGCAATTGGCCAAGTAAAATGCATCGGCTTCAATGCCACAGATCCTACGCACTCTGTCAGCGCCCCATCCACCAGCGTGAAATATCATGCCAAGTAAATAAGCGATTCCTGCAACGAGTTCGAAGCGGCCTTGAAATAACCTTGAGGAAAGGGAATGAAACTTACCGGCAATAGCTTGGGCAACTCCAGAGAGATTGAAGATACTCTTCCTGCCGACACTCTGCACGCAGCATCCGAGCAGAGCAGTGACGACGGTCGATCCCATGATGGCAAGCCCCAGCGACATGAAGAACAGAGACAATTTCCAGAAGGTGGGGAAGACCGACGAGTCGGTAGCCATGCCCTCCATGTTGAAGTTGGCGCAGTGATTGCGCCCGAAGAGTCTGGTGCAGCGGTTGTAGATGCCCTCCGACGGTGCGTACAGTTCGGCACCGCTGGCTAAATCAGATCAGGCACATGACGTCAAAAAAAGAAAAGCTGCCTTGACGCACAGGAAGTCGTGACAGCGGATGGGGCGCCCGAGAGAGGCAAACGGAAATCGGTCGCGCGTCGATGAGCTTACGAGTGTCGATGGTCTTCGGCGGGCCCACCAGCCATCTGGGCGTGATCACAGCCGATAGCACCGCCATGAACGCCAGCAGGGAGAGCAGCGTCCAGGCCAGGCTGCGCCCCGTCACTATCACGTAGCAGCACATCCTCGCGCGCTTCAGCTTGGCCGCCCGATTATTCGCTGACTTTTGTCCGAGCGCTCTCTGCCGCCCGACACGTCCTCTTCGGTCGCATCTTCAGTCTACAACAGCGATTTTCTCACAACTCGAATACCTCGTTGCAGCGCATTGAAAGCTCCGCTGTGTGAAAGTTACTGACGCGGCAGCCGACCACGGATCAACGCCATATCTGCGCCTATATCTTTCCAGAGCCCTCCACTTTAATGCGTCTTTTGTCGCTTGGCCGATCGTTTTTGCGTTGCGAACAAGTATTGGGACACGTTTGTACCATAAGTTTTCGTTAAAAAATAAGTTTCAATCGCATGTGCCCGTGATTTTCAATGGCAGCGTTCAACGCAGTACTTCTAAACGCACGTGCCAATTTTTCAGATGTTTTTCATCGACTTTGTTGCACCGTTCCTCTCCACGGCCAAAGCAAGAGATAAGAAAGTAAAAGAGGAGCGGAAATAAAAGAAAAGTTATATATAACGTGTTGTCGTTATATACGTCTTGAAAAGAAGCTCTTAAAGATCCTTCCTCGCTTCGAAGTCCGACATGTATATATATGCAAACGTATACCAAGCGTAAGAGCAGCCGTGGCAACTTTGATTTGGGCGGGTATACGAGCACGATGACAAAGAGCGCGAAGGCGCGCGGCTACGTGTCGCGGACGCCGCTAAGCGTACAGTGCGTAAAGAGAAGTAAAAAGAGCGCATCTGCCTCCCACATTTGTTCCTCTCTCTCTCTCTTTCCCTCTTTTATTTTCATTCTTGCGCGCACGCGTATGGTTTCTCTTTCACCGCCACGCCTTTCTTCAGTTATAGTGGCTATTGTCCCTCGCGGCTGACGACGCATCGGGAATTAAGTGCGTCGGCGGTGCGTCAATCGTATTAATTAGTGTATTTATTTCGGCGAGACTGCGCTCGAGCAGACTAGCTTCCGGATGCTACTTAGGATAACCGCGCGGCCAAAGGAGACACGCGAGATCTCGCGCCGGGGGGCCTTCGCTGCGCTGCACTCCGGGGCGCGAGGCGCGTTGGGACAGGTGCCCGAGGATTATCGCGATCGCGCGCGGACCGGACATTCCGGATTCCTGCGTACGGGCGCGCTCTATTTGCCCGCGCTCGCCACCCTCCCAGCCTCCGGATCGTTATTTCGCTTTGGCAGCGGGCCCTCGCGAGCCGATCGTCCATGGCGGCTCCGCGGCTCGAGGGCCGCGATCGACTTCCGCTCGGGCGTCGGCCACGGTGGCGCTCGCGCGACGAGGACGGCGACGGCGACGCAGCCGCAAAACAAAGAGCGAGAGCGCGCGCGCGCGCGCTGCCGGATAGCAGGCTCGCCCACTGTCCGGCCGTATATCTGCCGAGCGGAGAGCGGCCCACGCGCTCGCGGCCGCGCATTCTAATTAGCTCGCGCTATTTCCGCGCGCCGCGATCGCGCTCGCGCCTTCGCTATCTTCGGCCAAGATAATGCCGACGAGCGCGGTCGCCGAGGTGCGCGCACCGAGCGCGGCCGCGAGCGACGTTGCCAGCCGGCAGAACCGCCCGAGAATAGCCGATGCACGTGCGGGCGCGCGCCCGAGCTTTTCGTCCAACGGAGCCGGCGAAAGCGCCTCTCTGAAAATAAGCAGACCGGCCCGCTGATGGAGGAGTCAATGACACGCCGCGCAGTCTCTGCTCTCGCTCTCTCGCCGACGGACGGGCGCACAAGAAGAGCGCCTGTGCGCGAGCGATAAGCGGGAGCGCCGAGGCTCCGACGGTATCGGCGCGTGTCTCTGCCCACGCGGGCCCTGCGTCGCGTGCGCCTGCCGATCGGTGCCCTGCCGCCCTGCCGCCCTGCCGCTCGCTTCGATTCCAGCTCACGTCGCACCGGAAGGTCGATAGGGCACGACTCGAGAGCGATGCTCATCGCCGCTCAATGACGCAACGACAAGCGTCGCGCAGACGGCGATGACTAGTTGGAGCAACGAGGCGACGTTGCGCTATCGAGTTTTTCCGAGGTGCACTTGAGAAGCAGCGCTCGCCTTCGTATTCCGAGATGACGAGCAAGCCTTTCCCTGCTCGACAGTGCGTTTGACGTCCAATGCCAAGGCTCTTCCACGTAGTTCGTATCAGACCTGCCGCGATAGCTTCGATTTATCGTCCAACTTTTGCCGATTGATTTGCATGCAAACGCACCAGTTGCCCCTCCAGAGAAATTGACTTTTTATTGTAGAACGGCATTTATCAGGCTGCTAGCTATAATTTACGCGCGAGCACGATGCAAATCAGTAATCCCTGTCGTACGGCTATAATATTCTCGTGCCGAAGCAGAACTCGTCATACGATGGGCTATGGCCACTGCGCGCAATAAGAGCCCAACGAAAGCGCCAACAGCGCCTTGTGGTAGGCCTCTTCATTTTTCACATAAATCAAAATATAATAGTCTCGGAATTCCAAAAAGCCCGAACGAGAGCAAATCGAAAAGACAAAGATTCAAAAGGGGCAGAGGGAGGGGGGGGGCGAGCGGCGAAGACGACGAGAATGCATAATTCATAAAAATAAAAGAAAAGAGAAAAAAGAAAAAAGCAGCCTTGACGGCCAGTATATTATACGAGCAGCGATCCGATGCCAAGCACACGAGAGACCGTAAATTAATACAATCTCGATGTAGCGGCGAAAGGTTTTTGGAAGCGCCGGCACACGCAAACGGCAAACACCCGAATCCACTCCACTTATTTCTCTCGTTCTTTCCTTTTTACTCTTTCACCGGCTTTCGAATAGGTAGCACACTCGCGCGAGCACGTACGGTCGCATGGCTCTTGAGCACGAAACGGAAACGTCGTCGTCGGCTCGTGTGACTCGTTGAGCGTTTGGGAGAAAAAAAGCCCGTTGCCGGCGGACGCAGGAAGCATTTCGAGCGATTGGCTTTTGGCGATCAGCTTCTCGTCGACGCGACTTGTCGCTTAGAAATTATGCGTTAGGTCCTCTTGCCACCGAGATAGAGGTATATAGAAACAAGAACCGTCATTGGCATCTGCGCGCGGCGTTTCGTCGATGAGTAACGAGCCCGTAACGCGCGACAAAACGAAAGAGTAACGAAAGGCACGTTTCCGCGAAAGCTCATTAGTCGTCTGCGCCGCGAATATTCGGCAAGGTGGCGACGGCAAGACCGTGCTACCTGCTAAAACACATACCCAATTCGGAGAAGAGGGTTAATCCATGGCGAGTCAGAGTTGTCCAAGGAAGCCCTACAGCCTAATAGAGCGGGGCTGTTCCGCGCGCATAATCGCGCACCGCACGCACTGGCGCAGCTGGCGTCGCGCGAATTTCGCGACTATTCGGGAGTGTGCAATACGAGTTGGGGCGCGACCGGCGCGGACGATGTGTCGAGCCAAACTGAGCCAGAGAGCAGTCGGCGAAGAGCGAGCCGACTGCCGGCTGTCGGCTGCCGGCTGCCGGCTGCGGGCCTGCCCGCGCGTATCCTATCATACTGGCGCTACTCCCTGCCAACCAGAGCGCCAACGCGACGCGCTGTGCAACGATCGCGCTCGCGCATTTATCCGTCCACCTCCCGACACTCGGAGTGCCATCCTTCGCTTGCTTTTCAGTCTCTCCAAGTGTCCGACCTCGCTGTCTGTCCAATTCCGACAGCCGACCCGCGACATTAGCGACTGTTTTGACATTTGTCCATCGTCTCCCCGATCTGCCCAGCGGCCAGCGAGACGATTGCAATAGCGTCGTTTTACGTTTCTTCTTTCTCTTCCGAAATCGAGGGTCTAAAGCCTGTCCCAACAAACTTCAACACGCGCGCACCAAAAATAAGCATAGAATTCCTTCAATTTGAGTCGATAGAGCGACGACACGTCAAAGGGGCCTCCGAAAAATGTGGATCATTGGCGGGACCCACGCAACTTCTGCTGGTAACAAAGGAAGCTCGCGCTTTCCACATCGGGGGTAAACGCACTTGGATCGCACCCCTACGAAAATTCGATTCGTGATTGACGCTGCAGTGCGGAAAACCGTACGTATGGACGACTCTGAGTCAACCCGACTAGACTCGAGTTCATTCCCCTCGCAGAGGCGCGCACGCTTTGGGGGTTTGGGATACTGGCAACTTTTCCACGCGCTCGCACCTTTTTTGTAGTTGGGCTGCAAATTATATGTACAATATTTCAGTTTCCATAAGTTGCTATTTGCTATTTCAACGCATCGATTTACCCTCGACAGTGTAACTACTGGCAAAGATATGTACTTTGTTTTCTCCGATTTACGATTTTTTATAACGACGAATCTCACCTTCATTCCGAACATAACATGACTAATATAAATTACTATGCCTGAAACTTAAAAATTGATCAGCTACAGTGAACACGAAGCTCTTTCTTGGTGCCAATTAGATTGAAAGTTTGATATCGTAGTATGAATTACTCTTGAATTTTAAGCTATCGGATGTAACGGACGCGGAATGAAAAAACGATGAGGTACAAGTTGCACGTGATAAAATTCTAACAATAGTCTGTACACCGTAGTAACTAACTTGAAAAATACAAGTACACATTCAATTGAATATGGATTATAACTTAAAATGCAGTCAAACTGATATTCAAAATGCTACGAAATCTGGCGGTTTGGTAAACGATGATTTTTTAATTGAAAAAATGAAAATAATTAAAGTTAGGAAAATTTCGGGAACACTGATGCACGCTGATTGCCTGACTATCAAGTAGAAAATCAATATTTGTTTAGCGTCCTCTAACGGCTAAAACTTCAGTTACTCTTGCCGTCGATGAGCGACAAGTGTTTCGAACGACCATCTCTCTTATTTTTAGTCAATGTTCGTACGTGGTTGCGTTTATCATGTAAGTAGATTGTTTATTTCTTTATATTTCACCAATTTAATTGTCTTTTGCCTTGCAGTAGTTTTTTTACTTTTATAATGCAAGATTTTGTTACTATTTGGTCGCGTATGCAACGATAACACTATAATAAATAGGCAAAGTGCTTTAAAGTTCTGGAGAAACTACAATACCGTAGTTTTCTGTTATCAGGTGTTTATTTTCTTCATATTGTATTGGAAGTTACAAGATTTAAAACGACAAACGAGACATAGATCAACCAAATCATAGATTGACACTATTTTAATGCAGTTATTACTCACAAGGTATAATAATAAAAATCTAAAACGATAACTCACCTTCATAGAACAATATCAACGGAAAACGGTGACAATGTACGAAAATTTATTCAAAAGTCCCCTGCAAAGAATTTTCTTGTACGGGACATTAAAACGGGGTGAACCAAATCACAGCCTTTTATCCAATAAAGAATATGGATACGCTAAATTAATAGGACTCGGCAAGACGTTACTGAAATATCCTCTAGTTATAACAACTAAATACAACATTCCATTTATGTTAAAGAAACCTGGTTTCGGCAACGTAAGTATATGCAATGAAGCTTTAACAGTGATTTTTATTAATAAGATGTATGCTTTAATATTTTCTATCATTATTTTTCGTAACAGCAAATATGTGGTGAAGTTTATGATGTAGATTCAAAAATGCTGAAAAAATTAGACGAGTTCGAAGAGCATCCTAATTTCTATGTTAGAGCAGAAGAAGATATTTGGTTGGCATCTGAAAGCAATTTAAAAAATGGGGCAGAATTCGAAAAGGTAATATTATTCGCATATTGTTACATAAACGAACGTTCGTTCGGAAGCTCAAATAATGCATTTAATGGAATATCAATTTTGCAATAGGTTGGAGCTCAATGTAAGGCATGGATATACATTTTGCCGAAATTCAACGAATCCTTGCTGGAACTTCCAATGTACACATCCTACAGCAACGATGGATCACATGGACTAAAATATTGCGAAAGGTATCTGCGCGACCCAACTTTTAATCATAGAGCTGAAGTAACATCATGCAATTAACTGCATGCGTCACACGAACAAATTATTCGCAAATCAATTTCATATGCTAAAGGTCCGTAATGTATCTGTTGATGCATTGATAGAAATGCTTTTGCGAACTTATTTTACTGTCAAATAAAAAGGTGTAATTTTTTTTAGCGAAACCGAATTAAGCAAGCTCGATGATGTTTTATAAAGAAGTTAAAGAAAACAAACGTAAGATATAAAGGGAAAAGGCGTATTGGCTGATTAGAATATTGACTTGTAAATAAAAAGTAATGAATGACCAAGAAATTTTTACATTTCGTTAATATTCTTTTTATTGTTATTAAGGTTTCGGACTGCTGTCGCATATACCACTCATGTTTCGCAAAACGTACTGTAACTATGGCTTCACACTAATATTTGCTTCATTTCTTTTTTTTCTATTTAACTTCGATGGTAGGATTATAAATGTCGATCGTTATTTTGTACAAAATATTTACTTTTCGTACAAATTAGTCTTGATAGAATTCTCGATTATTTTCTCGATTAACTCTATTGTTCTTTAAAGAATGATTTTATGCTTAACAATCATTTTGTATCATATAAATACTTTACAGACTAAGTAGACTTGAGGAAGGAGCTGGTAAAAAAACTTTCTAAAACATACTAAGAAATACGTGTGAAGAGCGCATAATCCCCTTAATAAAAAAGATAACATGAGCAGTTCTTTTTTAATAGGGGGATTTCATTTTAGAAATGGGAAAGTTATAAAAAAATTTACGAGAAAAAACTAGTAACTCTGTTCTTTTACTGGTGCACGATTGATTTGCACGTAAATGTTTGTAAACGAATATTAAAACAATATTTTGCGTGACAAACGCACTGAGCTTAACGAACATGTTACTACGTTTTTATCGTTTTTTTTATACTATATCATACACAATCCTTCTGTTTAAGACTCAACGAGGCACTATATGCACAAAGTTATACAACAGTAAAATGCTTTTCAGGCAGATCTTGTACAATCTTGCTTTTTCTAAGAATTTATTTGTAAATAATAACAATTTTTCATTGTCCACTGTACAAAAATTTATTTGGTCACTTAAATTAATAACTTTTTATAGCACCTCAATAACTTCCAAAAAACAAAGACAAATTGTATCTTCGACTAATCTTTCATCATCCTTCCTCTTTTATTTTTTACAATGTTTAAAAAAAAAACTTCAACCCAATAAACATATTTAAACAAGCATCAACAAAACCATACACACGTTTACCTTCACAACATCGTCTTTTCATTGATTATCTTGTCAGTATTTTTCAATGTTTATTCTCATCAATTTAATAGTTCTGTTGGCTTTTCATTTTAACTTGCACACTTTTCATGTTTGCGATACCGTTCCGAAGCCCAGCCTCGGAATCTCAATAACCTAAGTATAGTATCAATAGTAAGCTTTTTCTTACACTTATTAACGTGCTTTTATTTAAAAAATGTAGCCATGTCGCTTTTGCGCTATTAATCTCTTCAAATTTCTTATGATCGCTTTGCATTACCGCAGCTTCTATCGATAATGCGTGCTTAATTAAAAAACTTTTTTTTATCAATTTTAACACGTTAAAGAATCATTTATAACGATAAAACGAAGAACTTTCCAGGTGTAGAGCGGTAAATAAATAGGTATGCACGGAGTTGTGCGTTTTTAGCCTATTAAACGTGTTTTACGTCGTAAACTGGACCACGAAACGGAGTGAGGCGGTAACGTATATTAATAATCTGTCGATAGCAGACTTGTCACTTTCAGCTTTGATCTTGAGACAATGCTCCATATTTATTTCCTAAGGATAGCTTTGGAGCTTGAGGTTGATTTTCTTGTGCACTATAAACTTGTCTTCCTGCACCTCGATTTCGAACCTCTTCGAAAGAACCTTCATCACGTTTCCTACACAAATGCAGTAATGATTAATATTTATTAGATTTAAGATAAGTTAATTGAAACATATTGTAATAAGTGAATCAGTTTGATCTTTAAAGAGTGTTTACATACTTTCTTCCCCATGCTCCCACTGCATCGTTAGTAGGTGGCTTGGCATTGAGTGTGGGGAAATATTCTTCGCTGTTGATATCTGGAGCTATATTCTTTGATCTCATACGAGGACCAGGACCTACACGCTCTGGGGGTGGTGCTCCATGCCTTAGATGTGGTATTTTGTAAGTTCCTCCAGTAGAAGATGGAGGAGGTTGTTGAACAGGCTGAGGTTGTGGCGTTGGCTGCGTTGACTCAGGTTCTGGCTGGCCTTGCGATTGTGATTGCGACATTTTCCAAGGACCCAAGTGTTTGCCTCCAGGTTCACCCGATTCCCCGTCCGAACTATTATCACCAGTTCCTCGATCATCATCTACATCATTATCGTCCATCGCTGACACTGTTAAATTTCCAATTTTCAATCCTGTGTAATCTTTCTTTTCTTCTTCAAACTCCTTCCACTCATCTTCTTCCTGAAATTATAACAAGAAATTACATAATGAAAATCCGTGTGTGGAAGAAGCACACTAAGTAGGAAGGGAGAGGATCAAGAGGAGGGCATGAATCGGCAAATTGCTGGTAACAGCTGCCATTTCCCAAAGCTACTGCATCTTCAAAGCAAAAATAACCTGATCGCATTACATAAGTCCCGGCTTTCTCAGATTAGCCCCCTCAATGACAATATTGTGATTTAAAAATTTAAAGTTGCTTTTTAAGACGATGGTTTCGGGGAGTATCCCACTAAATAAGTTGTAAGCATGCTAAAATGCAGTAAAGGTAAGTACAGGTAAAAGGATCCGAGCGTTGAGAAAGGGGAAGGCGCGCGCTTGGAGTGACGTTTATACGCGTGCAAACATGGCAGCGGCACACTTTTCACGTGGAACAGTGAGACGACAGTGAGGGCGACTAATTATTGTTTTTGACTGTAAAGATATGCGTACTACGGCTGTCTTACCTCAATCGGTTGGTTGTCCTCGCTTTCGGCATTGGTCGGCTTTTCCTTGGGCTTAGGCTTGTCTACCTTCTTGCCAGTTTCCTCGAGTTTTTTGGCTATTTCCTCGGTGGTGGTGAACTTTTTTCCCTTGCCCTTCTTGCGGTCCTTTTTGGCGAAAAAATCGTCGAGATCAGCCATGCTTGTTTTCACAATGTCTATCACAATATATAAAGTTATGTGTCAGCTTATTGTAAAGATACGAGAGAGCGAAGAGCCGAGCACGCCGGGAACACGGCTATCTACGAGTAGACGTGGTTGCTAGTGGTTTAAACCTAAACCCACAAGCTTGGATCACGTCACGAGAGGAAGAGAAAATACTGAAAAGCGTCTTCTCTCAACCAAGTTTGTGAGACGAGTAGCTGAACACCAGAATCGTGACTTTTCACACGGAATCACGTTCCACGCGTAAAGCTAATGCACGTCTCCCGACGACCACGTTCAACAACCACATGGGCTTGCCTTAGCACCCGACCGGAAGTCCCGCTTACGCTCTTCGTTGCGCTAGTGTCACATACATAGATACAGCAGTGCTCCTACACAGACACGAAGTACGAAATACGAGCAGTCGAGCTGCTTGTTCAATTTTCGATCCATCAGTACTTCACATAGACGCGACACGTACGATACACAAAAGACCAAACTTATCGACGCGTGTACATACACGTGCGCGCAGCCTGGCCTCCTCCAGCCCTTTTTTTACTTCACCCATTTACAAATATACTCCTTTAGATCTATGTGTATGTGCATCGCCATGTTGACAGCTCTCACTACGTGAGTCAGGTTTTGCGAGAACGCGCGATCTTTTAATATTTTGTACATACTTGATTGAAATTGCCTACTTGTTTGTACATTTTTCCATAACTTTCCAATGATTAAAAACAATGGTGATAATATTACTTAAATAAAATAAATAGTATGCGATTTTACAATTAGACAATTAAAAATAGTAACGCTATGTTCTTTTCATTGCTAAGCAACGCATAAAATGCTAGAAAGGAACCAAAAGTTTTGCGTAAACTCATATCTACTTAATAAATATTTGTTTGTTTTTAACATGAGCATATTCATTGTTGTTAATAAAAATACGTGACGGTCACTGCATAAGCGGTGAAAATCTGGCTGCGGTTGATATAAGAGAACGGGGGGAGTCGGGAAGCGAACACGTGACGAAAGGTTCTCTCGAGTACCGTCGCGGAGCCACGATCGGAGTCGCGTAAGTGACTCTCGTTAACTTTGAGCGAAGACCGAAGACTCCTGCATCCCGAGCAGAGAGTGCCGCGACCTCAGCGCTGTTGGCCTCTGCCGTCGGCGTATCGAAGAGAGGACGCTTTGGTTTGTCTTTTGAACTGGGCACGAGGGTGTTGATCAAAATAAAGTCACCAAAAGTTTGTATACCTTTACTGGGGTGAACTCAACAGGGTCTACTCCAAGGAAACTTCTACTTATTTTTATTTTATTATCCCTCTTGAACGACTTTGTATACTATTAATGACATTCAAATAACTATATACATTCGAGTTATTGCTGTAAAGTATTCGGGGCAAAGCTTTTTATATCCCCCGAACATAAACCGTAAGATGGCGATCTTGCCAATCCTTGAAAAAAGAAATTCCACTTGTTTCTAAAATATCTCATGTAAAGGTCATAGCTATACTTGCAATTAATAACTAGCAGAGCATCCTCAATTTTTTAACGTTGACGGTTTATCAAATCGTCTACCAATTTCCGCTTTTACGCAAATTATCAACGACAATTTGTCATTGAAAGCCCTTTGAAAAGCGTCAAGTATTTATAAATTTATATATTATTAGTAGTATTCGAATAGGTTATTGGGTTAAATAGGAGCACATGCCAAACTAAGCCAAGCTATAACTTTACTCAACACACTTGCCAAATGACTGCGTGAATTGTTAAATTACACATAATAGACTTTAACAAGTAGCCTTGTATCGGAGCGGACGGGAGAGTGCAATGTGCGCTATTTAAAAGTTGGCGCGAGACATGCCAAGCTTGATCGACGGTCCACCAGTTGGCAGCAGTCTCGCGCCAATCCGTGTGTGTTCCTATTGTGGTAGGACGGACTTGGGGCTCGGAGCTTGGGCTTATGCTTATGCTTACGTGCCGCGGCGGAACTGTGGAGGGGACAAGTTAAAGTAACTTGATCACCGCCTGCTCGGCCGTCAGCAGCAGTCTGCAGTTGCGTTTAACGTCTTGAATATTCCAAAATACGTGACTGTTCGCGGCGAGTGACAGTTCATCGAAATTGTTATTGCACGCGACTCCAGTTATCGTTTCCAAAAATCACCCAACGACAGGCTTGTCATCGCTCGACTACAGCTCAATACGCATTGACGGGCGCTTTGCTGCTGATGTCTATGCACAACTTACTGGTTTCACTGTAAAATAGTACCCTTGTCCAGACAAATTACAACTTAACCTTTTGGCTGAGTAAGAACGCAAAGGGCTACAACGACCTCAGTTTTATCGCGGTCGAAACGCCAAAGGAAGTTTTCGATAGTAACATCAAGGATACGACTCGTCTGTTGGATGATCAGTGCGAGGTCAAATTGATTCAACGACAAGAGTCACAGACAAGAACAGGCAGAGTTGACTTTTGCAAGGGGAAGCTTTATGTGCGGTTTGAGCGACAATTGCAATAATGAAGCTCACGCAAAAGTGCTTCGTCAACATAGCTAAGATGCTCGACTTTTACTCGCAATTCAATCCATCGCCACTGTCTATCAAGCAGTTCATAGATTTCGGTAAGTTTCTCTTGTGCTTGTTTGATTTTTACATCTCCGTATAATTCAGCTGCGCTGTAATGTCAGCCGGAGGTATCGATATTTGTCCTATTAAGCCCCTATTTATGTACAGATTGATGCAGTCACTCAGTAACAAAGCTTAGTATTTTAAAAATGTTCTCTTGTTCAAAAATCAATCAAGAACAAGTACTATAACTATTAGATGCTTTCACGTTTGTGAAAAAAATACTGTATTATTGAATTAAACTAGTAATTACATTCAAATTTTCAAAACACGAAACAAGTTTGTACGGGAAAAAAAATCGAGAAGTGTTGATGTACGTCAATGAGACTGCGTACGTATACTGTTATCTGTGTTGCCGTTTGATAAATAAATTCGGAACAAAATATTTGTCAGTGAAACAACCGGCTCATTTATGTCGTTCGGTATCAAAAAAAATTTAAAACAATACGTATTTACTGCCATATTCAAATAGAAAAAAATTGGCATAAAGATATGCGTCTGTTTTGGTAAAAAGAATGCCTCGTCATCAAGTTGAAATTGCACTGAAAGTTTATAACGTATCAACATTAAATTAATTATTTATACTTTGCCCAGACGTTTCTGCTAAAAATAAGTAATTATATTTATCTTATAGGATAATCCAACTTTATTAACCAGTTCTAAGCAGATTCATTCGCATTGTACGACACATCTGGCGAAATTTAATATTTCCGACTTGTTATTCATTTTTTATCGTTTGTTAATCTTCGAGATCGTTAAATTGAACGTGTGAAGCTAGTTTTTCAGAGACAGGTCTGTACATTTATGTGATGGCGGTAGCGTGCAAGGGGTTAGCAGTCTGCAGTACAGCTGTGTGCGAATTGTATCTGATGCAATCGCGTGGAATATTGCAAAAAACTGTTCGCACTAGATTTTCAAAATTATGTCTGCTGTATAAAATTAAGTTGACACTTATTTCATATGTAATTAATATTACTAGCGTTAAAAAAATTACAATAACATTGAGCCGTTTTAATTACTATGTATAAATTGAAAACAAAAAATCCAGTCTACGCCGATAGAAAAATACATACGCAAGGAATTGCCGAAACAACGCTATTGCCCCGTACGAACTTGACGTTCTAATTCGCTTAACAACAAACATCAATTGCGTAATCGTTCGGAGAGAATCACACGGGATCAACCATTAATTTGGTTTTTCTTTTCTAGCCTCGTGAAAAATATGTGAAAGTAATAAAAAAAATGGCGAATACAGGTGCAGTAATATCGCGCGCGCGCGCGCGCGATATTTACTAGCTTTGTTTTTGACTCTTAACAGCGTAGAAAATACGAGTGGCTTATACAGTTATACGTCACGTATACACAGATAGTCGAGGGGAGGGGGATCGCAGCTGTGCGTCCATCCTAATGCCCGCGTTGACGGCATAGAAAAGAGACTCCATTCCTCCTGTTTTGCTTTAGGCACATTCGCACTTTTTCGGCGGCGCATGTCTATGCTTGATCAGCTTTCTATTTGATCGATGCGTCCGACATCGCTATACCTGTTAAATACATAGTATTCTCATTTTGTCAGAAGTTTGACTGAATATTTTCATAAGATGATAACCACTGTCAAGCTGTCCATTTATGGTAGACAACGATTGAAAGATCTTGCAAAAGTTTCAGCGATGACTCGTGCTTGTTTCGTCCTATTCTGTATATTCTAGCATGAGTTAACTGCTCACGGCAAATCGGCAAGTTCTACTTGAATTTTCCGAATAATCGTTTTCTTAACTTATCAAAATTTTCACTCCCAGCGATTGTCTAACGTTTTTCATATTCTTTTCAGTTTCGCACTTTACGTAAATCTTTATAGTTAATATGAGAACAGATCTTTTCTTTTTATCATTACGCCGAGTCATTGACGTTGAAAGTTGCGGCTTCCATCGGGACACTTGTGGCATTAAATCACAACTCTTATTAAGTGATTTCTATTTCAAAAGAATTCCAAAAACATCGACAACCGTGATTTTTCTCGACTTTGCTTCAAAGCAGAAACATTGTGAATTTAATCACCTAACAATGATTTTAATTGTTTTGAAATTGCTATTATGTAATCGACAATCGTACGATGATCTATTAAAGTGCAAAATAAACACTTGATAAGCACTTGAAGTTACTTGAAAAACATAATGAATAGTTTCATTCTCTATAATTTGAAATTAACAACCGATGAGTAACAAGTTTTTCGGTTTTTTTCTCTGCATTATTATGAAGAAATTAGCCACGGTCGTGTTAAATGAAAACTCACGTAATGCAACTGAAACTGATAGTTCGTAAACAACGTTGATATACGCGTACAGAAATACAAAGCGCGGAACTGCGGTGTAATTTATGGTAGTAAGATCTGCATCTCTATTACCGTGGAACAAAGAAAAATTATTAGGAATGATCCATGATTAGATAATCACGAGATTTTTCAATCGGATAGAATTAGTATTAGCATACACGATGCGACGTGTACTACCGGGATGTAGTTATTGTTCCGATGACGGACGTGCAAGCAATTTTAGGCGTGGGGACAATACGTGTACTATTATACATACAAATTATTGTGCACAGTAGCACAGCGTAAGATTTGATACACGCTGATTTGCACTATGTTATTGTGCACGGTAGTTTTTTATGTATACAATAAAACCGTGCATCATTGTCCGCACGCTGCAATTCTGTACTTCTGAATTCTTTAGGAAAGACGTCAAACGAACGATGTAGTTGCGAAATATTTATTTCTGACATAGTCTAAACAGTATTGATCGCCGCTAATGACCAAATAATCATAATATTTGATATAACATTATCAATCAACTTCGAGAAACTACTACTATCGGTTAGAGCATGACAGGCACCTCACTTTTGAAGCGTATACATCTTAGTGAAAAAATTACGATTAACATCGCGTTAATGCATCTTAAAATTTTTAATGTGTATTTGAGTTTAGCGTTATGTCGATGCTGAATTTTGAAAAGTTCTTGGCATGAAAATATTCAAGGAATATGTGCATGAAAAATTATAAGTTCAAAAGCTTTTTAATGTTTTACATCAAATCCGAAAATAATCAAACAAGCCACTGACGAGAAAGTTTTTTTTTCAGAGATTATTGTTTACACATAAACTAATTGATTTTTTTTAATTTCATCGCAGTTATTTCGAGTAGTCTTTGAATTATCAGCTGTATTTTGTCCGGTGTTTCAAGCTTCTCTGCCTAAATGACAGCTATATGATATTATCCGTGTTTGAAAAGAGCTCGAAAATCCGCGCATTTTTTCCCCTTCACGTTGCTTGTTACTCTAGATGAATCGTTAATGAAACAATCGATGCGCAATACCTTGAGCTTCAACGCTACGTAAGTCCTAGTTTCATGCGGTTTTTTTCGCAAAGATATACGCTTCTATCTTTTTTTAACCGATAATAGACTGTTTTTTCTGTAGAGCCATGATGACTACTAGAGCTGTGAAGACAGTCCACTTCAAAGCTTACAAGGCCGAAGATGAAGTGTTTGAATAATATTACAAAAAAAAAAAAGGAAAACGCACAGTTAACGTCACTGTAAACGCGACCAAAAATATCATGTTATATAGTGCTCATGCACTATTTTGAGAGCGGAAATCTCGACGTAAAGGCAATTGAATCAATTTCTTTATTTAGATTAGAAAATAAATTTTCAAGTACTTCCTCCTTGAAAATTACTCAGCCAAAACCAATATACTTTTTCATAAAGTTAATGTTTCTTCTATAACTTTTCCGCGATAAAAAAAAAATGTAATGTAAATTCATTATCAAATATGTAGCTATTTATTTGCTAATACTTTATATTACGCAGAAACCTATTTCGAGAAGTATTTTTTCGATGCCAGCTGTAGTCGAGGCTTTAATTTTTGCTGTGGCGCGCCTCCACCTGTGAAAAGCGATGAAGTCGATACCGCAGTGAAGGACAAGGTTCTGGCCTCCAAGTAACATTAAAGATTGTATCACATGGCTTGCTTGTTTCTTCAACACCTTCGCTTTTTATTCCTGAAAAGTGTTGTTAGATTTCGCTTGCGCGGGAAGTCATCGATAAACAAATAAAATTTTGACTCGTCACGTCCGTGACGAAGAAATATTTACTCAAATATAATAGCGATTAGTAATCGCTATGTTGCAAAATTTTTGGTAATATCGTTTTTGATAATAGACTTCCTCAAAGTGCTAACTCAATAGACTAAGTTTAAAAATCCATTTTCACGAATGACGCTATGAATTAATGGTTCTTAAGGTAATGCATGAACTTGAACGCTCGACTGATTTAAAATCAAGAACTTGGCCACGAAAGTCGTTTTAAATTATTCTAAAAATGAGAAAAAGTTCGAGAGCCTCGCAGTGGAAGTGACGGAGGCCACAACAAAATTAACGCGAGCGTCAGTTGATTAGCACACTAGACAAACACAGTCTGATGAGTGAGAAAAGATTCCTTTCTAAAGCGAAGAAATCGCGAATAATAAAGCGAGAGTGCGATAGTCGATGGGGAGTGGCGAAGCAGCACGTAGGCAATGATTTGCGCGATTGTTCGAGTAAAATCGGCGGCGTGGAAGCGAGGCAGATAAAGCACGGAGAACGCCGGCCTCGAGTTTGGTTGTTATTTCTCGATCGGAGGCGCGGCACCGAAAGCGGCCAATCGGCGCTCGTGACGTCCGACCAAGCCCACAGCTTTCGCTGGGCTTCCATCGGTCGCAGCGCCACGAGCGTCCATCTGCTCCGTCGGACTTTCTGCTACACATAACCATGCTGTTGCGCCGCTCAACCAGCTTTTTCGAGAATCTTCGTTCTTCGTGTGCTTTTTCTCGTTCGAGTTCGTCCCACCGCCATGGCTAAATCTGCTTTTTCTTTTTTACCCTAAACAAACTGTATCTGTCATTGTCTCTTAAGCACTGTTCCTATATGCTAAACATAGCCTTGATGAATTTACAAAGCAGAATGACTTTTAGATTAATTTTATTCGCATACTTGGCTTCATTCTTATGTTATCGCATATATCGATATTAATAAGCACAAAGACTTAGATGCTCTAATTAATTCGGACCGAAAGATGTCACATTTTCTCATTTAATCCATGTAAAACGATATATTTGTTATTAATTTTTAACAACGTCTATATTTTACTTACAAATCCAATGACCGATTCATCAAATATATCGTTTGAGTTGACGTGCTCTAATTAGAAAGCGTTGCTTTTCAATGTACGCAGACTCTCGGTTAATTATTCATCGTCATTGTCTTTTGGCCATTCGTGTCGATTATTTTGTCAGTGATTTGAAAACATCAATCCAATGAATTGTACAACTGGAAAAAAAAACGATCTGACACACCAACTCCTATTTTTTTTACCACGATGATACAATGATCATCTTTTATACAGCTGTTATCTTATTTCATTATCATTGCCTTTTTTGCGTGTCTGTTGACAAGACGTGATTGCTTCTTTCTATACTTGACTTTACTTCGGCAAAACATCTTTTTTTAAGTCTGCAACGAAACCTTTGTTCTCTGCATTCTCCGTTCATTCAACCAATAGATACGTATATCAACAATCAAATGCAATCGTTCACTAAATTTTTGCCGTTCTACGGTAAGCAATCAAGTTCTTTTGAACGTTGCCTCCATTTTTATACTTGTCAATGAAGTGCAAGTCACACGCGCGACGAACGAAAACGACAAATCGAACAAAATACTTTTATACGCTGGAAGAATTAGATCCATTAATCGAATTATCGATGGTGATGATGAATCATAAGTACGTACAATGTAATGCATATTTTTCAATGAATTATCGAAATACTTTTCTTTATTCATTTATTGGAAAATGTAATCTAAATATTTGTATTAGGCGTTTGGTTCGAGTAGCCAGTTAAAAAATAACGCGACTTGATTGTATTGCTTAACTTGAAAATATTAGACAACAGGTGAATGACTGTTAGCGAATTATATAGTGAAACATTGTAAGTTTAGCGTTGACGCTAGTAATACCATTAATATTTGTTAGGTTTGCATATATATATCGAGCAGGTCCGTTGAAGCGCTGTTGATAAATCAACGTATCGTAGGCGTGCATCCGCACGGATAACAATCGATAACTGCACTCCAGGACACAAGCGTGTCAGGCGAATTGTCAGATTTTCGCAACTGATTGGCTCGGGAGGCCTGTTCTCCTGCCGGCTCAAACAATCACACTTCAGTCAAGTTAGTCCGCGGAGAAGGTCGATAACTCGACGCGGCAGTCGACTGCTAATGGGAAACGTACGCGCGTTTATCTTTATTTCGATGCCTTGTTTGCCGCGCCAATGGCGGGGGCGATTCGTTTTTCTCTTTCGTCCAAAGTCGTGCTTTTCTAGTCTCGTTTGTATCTGTACGCTCGGCAGATAACGCGCGTTCGTTCACGGTGCGATTTCACGGTCAGACGATTTCAGTGAGAATTCACCTCTCGACGACTTGTTTTGCCGCTGTAGAGCGCATTCCTTCGTGCACCTCGTATCACGGAATTCGAATTCGAATGGTGCGGTGATGTTCGACTGATTTTGTCCTTGCGTGATATTTAATCGCGTAATGATTGATACACGAAGCAGCAGAGATATTCAATGCTTTCAATGAAATGAAATATGTCATAGAGATTATTGCAGCACTTATAGCTTATTAGCTAATTACGTGCCTTGGGCTAGGCAAGCGCCAGTACGGTACGAGCAGGATGTGTGCCAAGGCAGCGAGCGATCGCTTCGCTCCCTGGACTTCGGGTACTGGCGCTTGTTTTATTGTAATTAATTAATTGACCGCCACCCTGACTATGAAAACACTTACCTTATTTTGCACAGCTGTTTTCTTTTGCTATTAGTAATTGTTGTTAAAGTATCATGTTTATTACTACAGTTTCGAAACATTATAACTTGAGTCAATTTTTACGAGCTTCGTAATTGACAGTTTACTAGATGTTTACGATATTGTAATTTCACAGTCTCTTGCTGACTCCACTTGTAATTAATGGACTCAACGGTCTTTGCAAAATGGCAGCAAAAACAGTGTGATAAAGCAATCGTCTCAAGCATATTTATCAATAGCTCACATAACATTTCGCCATACGAATACATTTATCTTATCGAGTAATATCAAATGAATTTTTATTTCGTTAATTTTTTATTGTTACTGTGTTGCAGGACTTAGTGCCTGCGAAAGAAAATCTTTTATTTTTTTACGAAAAGAACTTCCGGTGCGTTTGGCTAATATTATGAAGGAAATTCACCTACTTCCGGACCATCTACTGCGAATGCCCAGCGTGGGCATTGTGAACAATTTGTACATCACTTCGTTTGAAGAAATTCTTCATTTTGAGAAGGCAGAAGTTAATGAAAGTACCTTGGACAGGTAAAACTTTAGTATTTCGCTTGATAACGATGACGCGTTTTCTTGCGGCAATGCAATCGAGAAATATTGTATTAACAAAGGAGCGCGGTTTCAAATAATCAAACACGTCATTTTTCATAAACAAAATGGATTTGCAGAGAAGGCAAATAATCCGTTGATCATTAAATACATTTTCATCGGTCTTATCGGTGCCAAGCTACGAGGCAACATTTTCACTCGTGACTTTAAAAGGAGTCAATAGAAGTATCCGTTAAAACTCGTAAAATTTGCTAACGTTTTCTAGATTCTGTCAAGCTTTGGTCAAGATCAGGAACAGACACTCTGACGTGGTCCAAACAATGGCGCAAGGTGTACTAGAGCTGAAAGAATCTCACGACGTAGATGCAATGACGGAGAATAGTATTCAGTATTTTCTCGACAGGTTTTATATGTCTCGAATTTCAATAAGAATGCTCATTAATCAACACAGTGAGTCACAAAGAAAATACCATTGTACAAAGTCGTTCGAGTTGTTATTCTCATTGCATGACTTATCGAAATATTTTGTTTGTTTAGCTCTGCTTTTTGGCGGAGTATTGAATGGGCACAACAGACACATTGGCTGCATAGACCCTTACTGTGATGTTGTCAGCGTCATCAAAGATGCCTATGAAAACGCACGCTTCCTGTGCGATCAATACTACATGGCTAGTCCCGATCTAATCATTAAACAGCATAATGGCAAGTTTATACAAAATAATAAAAGAGACATTGACATCATTTCACATAGCTGTGAAAGTAGACAAAATTAACATTAGAAGAGTTAGTTTCAGTGTCACTTTTATTATTTTATCTATTGTATCGATGAATAATATTCACAAACATATACTGTCTCACCTAAATGTAATTGATATTCTGTTCTTTAGCGAAGCTGGAAAGTGGCAGCGAAATAAAAATAGTATACGTTCCGAGTCACATGTACCACATGCTCTTTGAACTTTTCAAAAATAGCATGAGAGCAGTGATGGAGCATTGTGGATCTGATGCCGATAACTATCCTCCTCTAGAAGTGATACTTGTCAAGGGCAAAGAAGACGTGTGCGTCAAGGTTGATCCATTCACATTTATTTTACTTATTAATTCAAATAATCGTTTGAACATTCTCATTGATTAGGCTGTATGTATCTGTTCAAATTTTTTAGATGTCTGATAAAGGAGGTGGCATTCCACGCTCGCAGATGGACAATTTGTTCAAATACATGTACAGTACAGCACCTCAGCCCAGCAAGTCCGATGCTCATACTGTACCACTTGCCGGTTACGGCTACGGTCTTCCATTATCTCGATTATACGCGCGTTATTTACATGGTGATTTGGTTGTACTCAGTTGCGAAGGTTATGGAACTGAAGCCGTTGTCTATTTAAAGGTAATTGTTTCTGAAATCTACGCAATTATTTTATCCTGTAACTTCCGCAGTGCATAACTAATAACAGTTTTTTCAAGATTCTAGTGAAATTAACTTGTTTTCTAGTCATGTTTTAATATGCCTATAATGGAAATCGTCTTCCGTAATTTTTAAGCCATTTCAAATTGTCGTTTCAGGCGCTGTCGAACGAAGCAAACGAGCTGTTACCTATTTTCAACAAAACGTCCTCGAAGTTCTACAGGACACCAATCTCGACAGCTGATTGGAGCAGCCAGTGCGGTAATAGTATGGCAACTAGACAAATGTCCATGAGCCACAATCAAGGTCACAGACTTCCAAATGGTTTACAAGCTAGCCACTGCTAGCATCAAGCCCTCGGTACAGTCGTTGAATCAGATTCAGCTGACTGATAAACGTGTATTTAATTTGTTTTTTAGATAACTTTTTTTATGTTTCAAATCCATTTTTATCATTTTTCACATAAAGCTTATGTGTGTTTTTCCTCGATTTGGATGTTTCATTGGTTAACTGTAAGGCATTTACTTTTTTGTTTGCTTATTTTTTATCATAGGATAACATATCAAAATGTAGTAAATGATTGAAATTCCAAGCCATTTATTTTAAAGGAAATGAAAAATGCTTTGATCAATACACGAATTGTTTAACGTTCAATTTTAAACGATCCAAATTCATGTAAGAACATGATATGTAATCCGGTAGATTTATAATCTTATAGACTTGTATACCAATATCTGTGATTCTTCAAACTTATGTTTGGTAACTGTTACATGTATCAATACTTACTGTTACATGTATCAATGTACATCAATATCTTTTCAAATTGGATGACATTTTTAATTTATTCGATGATGTATTTATAAAAAAAATTCAATTATTATATTTTGTGTTATATTTTATCGCAATGAATGTTTAAAGCGAATGTTAAATAACAAAATATTGCTAACGTCACTGGCTATTGCAGTAATACTTGGTTTCAATTTTCTATTTATTATAAACTTATTAAAAAAATAGTGCATAATATATTAGTAATTATTTCAAGTGAGGATTCGAAAAATTGATATGCAGTTCGAAAGTTATTGTTATGGAAAAATAATCGAATGATACCCAAAACTTTGATAAAAATATTCCAGAATAAAGTTTTCGAACTAGAAGAAAAATCATTCTAAAAGTGAAATTTAAAATAATTTAATCGTCGTATTCATACAAAATATAGTTTCTTGATAAAGAGACGCATAATATTTTGTAAAGATCAATTAAAAGTGAGTTAAAGAATGACGAGGATTTTTAAAATTATAATAGATTGTTTAAAAAAGATGTATTATATTTCCTTTATACAGGTACGGCGGTATGTTAGAAATCTGATATTGTAATTGAATAAATCTGTTCTTAATAGAACTGTATCACAATCTTTTCTTGTATGAATGTAATTCGCTTTTAATGAAATGTTAATTTCACTGATCACTGATTATAATCAGAGTAGGACGAAACAGTGCTGTGCATCAATCCATTTATTATATATAAATTATGTATGTCTTAAGTATAATGCATATATTTTTTTTAATAATTTACGTTTACAATATAATTCTACAACAAATAGCTTTATCTACATCAAATAAGTAGGTCGATACTTGTAAGTTATGTAAACTAATTATTTTGATTATGTATTGATAAAAATTAAATTAAAAAGTTTAATAGTAACGAAATTGTTCTTTGAATTCAGATTTATTCTACTTTTTATCTTGTTTCTCTGTTCTTATTTCTTTTCTTTGGCTAACTTTTACCATCATTGTACTCTATACTATAACAAAAAAGCTGATGGAATAATAATAAATTAATAATAATAATAATAATAATTTATAATAATAAATAATAATAATAATAATAATAATTTATAATAATAAATAATAATAATAATAATAATAATAATAAAATAATAAACTTCAACTATAATAATCTGATAAACGGGAACAAGTCTATTGGAACCATTCTATTGGGTATTTGTTGCCGAGTCTCACCGGAGATCTTATTCTGTAAGCATATTGCAGCCGAAATAGTTAAAATATCGACCGTCATACGCTTGCACTCTCCGTTTGATTCAATGGGTTGAGTTGACGGTGATTTCTGCTGTGTCGTTCCGACACATTTGGATAGAAGTCCCCGTCATAAAACTCATGAATTTGAATAATTGAAGACATTGATTACCATATTTGGATCTTTATTACATTAGGTTATTTTTTCAAAATACAATAAATTTACTGTTACTACATTTGCACTTGAATGAATACAAATTGGCGGTAACAATTCGATTTCAAAAAAGAATATACCATACACAAACTTACAAATATATTTTAACTTGTTAATTTAAATTGACGTAAAATTTTTACTGATAACCAAGAAAAGAAAAATCAACTTTTTTACAATTTTTGCAATGCTATGGCATATTTATATTTTTTATCGAAAGTTGTTATAATTATTATCGTTCGAATGATATATTTTATTTTTCGATATTTCTTGACACATCGTAATTACTAGAATCGTGAAATTCTGAAATTTCAATTATCCTAAATTAAAGTATAACTTTGTGATGTGCATAATAGGTTCAAGTGAATCTAAAAAATGCATTTCTACGTATTTGAATCTATATGTATTTACAGCATGGCAGTGATCAATCTACTTATGTATTGTATTGTTCTGAAAAATTTCGGAAACTAGCGGATTAACCGACGTAATCACATTATTATTTTTAAAATAAATATCGTTTATTATTGTACGAGATTCTTGTTAACAAAGTAGTTTTAAAGTCATCATAAAAGAATAACTCGCATTGAATGCTGGTAACCAGTTTAAAAAGTTTAAATTTTATTGATCTCTACAATTGATTGTAGATGTATCCATGACTTTAATTGTCCTTTTAAAGAGTTAGATAGTGTTATTTGTTATTTTAAGGATGATCGCCAACAGCTATGAAGCTATCGTGTCAGTCCAAAATACCTCTGAATAGAAAATAGGAAAAGGAATGAAAATTGATAAGAAATCATTAAAATTTTTATTAATAATTTTATTTTGTTTATGTATAAAATTTATTTTCAATTCCAAAAATTATATAAATGTAATACTTAAAAAAACATTGTCCTAAAGTTTTTCCGAAAATATGATTATAAACCACACAAATTATGGAATCGTAAATAAATTTCTTAATCAAATTGTAAAAAAAAGTTAAAAATTATTTATAACGATAAATTAATTTATGATTTTTCGGATAAGTGACGTTCTCGCAAAATGGAATTTATTAATAATAAATGATAGAGCTATAATTGTACACAAACCAATCAGAGATATTTTTAGTGAAATAACAGGAACGTTTTTTGTTAGCAATTGTCTACAACGCTTTGAACAAGCGAGTTTTGATTCAAAGATAATGTAAATTTTTTATATTTTTTATGCTTTCTCCTTTAATCGCCGAGAAATTGATTTTCTACAAAAAAATAAGCATCTTGAATTACGAAAATAACGGTTTGAGATGATTCACCATTCACCTCAACTACAAATCGATCGATACAATATGCATAGTCACGTTTTTCCTCGTTCGATATTAGTAGAATAATGATTATTATACTAAATTATGTACCTACTACGCAAATAGTTACTCTTCAACAGATATTTTCTTATCTATATCAATATATTAATCACAGTTCTATGGACACAAAAATGTGTTCTTTCATTATACACGTAAATAATCTGCAATTTCTTAATAGAAGATGAAAACGTGCGCATCGATCGCTGTTCTCGAAAGTTAGCTATGTCTATAATATTATTTCATTCAAGATGTGTTGGATATTATCTTATTGTCCGAGATTACAGATATGCTATATTTAGAGATTCAGCGAACGATTCATACTACTGTTTTTTCTTCTTAATATATATCACTTTTTTATGATAGAGCAGGGTGCTACATACATGGCAGTATCATCCCACATAAAATATCCTCTGGATGACTGTTACTACTATATATATTTACATAGAGATTTCAGAAAATGGCCTTTAATTTTTCTCTAAAGCTTCAGACAAATTCACGAGCATATTTTTCAAGACACTTTTGAATAATTAAAGCATTTTTCTCAGCTAGTACTAATAGCGAAAATTTTTCAATTGTTTTCCGAAAGTAGGATTGCACAGCGCAAGAAATCAATCTTTCTTCTGTAATCTTGTGAGCTAATTAATCAATCACAATAAATATTAAAATTCTAAATAAAAAAAAAATAATAAAAAAATTAAAAATAAATAACAAATGAAAGACTTATGATAATTTTGATGTTTCGAGAAATTATGATTCAAGTATGCATTACATCTAAATACGCAATAATAAAAGCCATGATGATAAGTCGAATTAGTAAATTAGCTCGACACGAAACTACATAACAAAAATAACATTAAGTTACTGCGATAAAAAATTCATTTAGAGTTCCCTTTTAGCGTTCTGTTGACCACGTGAGACCACCTTCGAATGTCTTGAAAAATCCGTTAACACGTTTTGTCATTGAATCGTTGATCAGCAGAGGTGACGGAGCGTTGATTATTACAATGATCATTAGACATAAACGGGTTGGGGACTTGGTGATTGTAGCGGTTGACAGCAACCCCATGGGAAGAGCCACGAGACTCAGCACCTTGGCGAAAATTTTGGATTAGTGGGACCGTGAATGTAGCTACGCAGCTCCTTTGGCGGTTCGGAACCGAAGTTCGATGCAGTATCTACGTCTGACTTTCGACAGATAATCATTCTTATATCTGTATGTAAATAAATTCGTCCGGACTTTCCAGACATAAATCTAAAAATGAAGCGATTATTCGTTATTCGATGTATTGTCAACAAAAGAGGACATGTATACAGTACCTAAGATGAATGAGGTAGCGTAACGTTTTGTCGCGCAAAGTTCGCTGGCGTAAAAAGGTATGAGACCTTGGCGGCATGTCAGATAGGTCATAAAGTACCACGAACATTTTGACAACAGTGCCCAATGGGTTGGAAAGGGTGACTTGAATTGTGCCGCTCTTTGGTACTTGATATCCTTTCTTACCTAAGTTTATGTGAGCCTGTAAGCAATTGCGATAAATTACTCAAAACTTGAGTAGAGCATCGCGGACCAAAATAGCGAGACAAATGTAACGATTACTCACGAGATACGGAGACGAAACTTTGTCGTTGTCTCCAAGCGTATAAAAAAATACAGTGACTGGAAGTTTTCGATGTTTTGGACAAAATGATCCACTGGCTCCGATTTCGGCAGTAAAACCGTGGACTGTCGAAACAGGTTCTAGTCTACCGTTGAGCGCAGATTCCTCGAAGCTTCCCAAGAGAGCGTGACTCTGGGGCCGACTGCGCGAAGTCGATCTCCGCCTCGTCACCTCTTCAATATCACAGGCATTTTCCGTTTCTCTATCGCCCTCCTCCAAAGAAACAGCCCCGGGGCTTGGAGGAGTGTTCAGCTCGAAAAGGGCGCTGCAAAATTACAAAATTGTCATTATTCCCAGCGACTTTCGGTCGGCTCGTCTACCGGAATACACTTACCTTCGTTTGGATGACACGCTGTTGAGACTGCTGTCAAAGTCGAAGCAACAGCTGCCGCGTCGAAGAGGCGCTGGACTCGATGTAAGAGGAAGGCCGGTCCTGCTGTGGAACACCATCGAAGCGGCGTTTTCCAGGGAGCGCCTGAATCTTTCCTGGTCCTTGGCTGTCGGCACGATCGTCTTGTCGATCTGCTCCTCCTGGTCTTCGGTCGCGGTGGCGCAATCCTTGTGTTTGGCATCGACGTAGTTGTTGTTGTGATTTACCCAAATCGGCGAAAGGTCGCGTCTGCCGCGAGTCTTCTTCTTTCTATCGGCACCATTCGCGCAGAGTTCCACGGTATTTCGCTGACCGTTTGTATCGTTTGTACCGTTTGTACCGTTTGTACCGTTTATACCGTGCAGCGTCGAGTTGACGCGTGCGCTACCGTTTGTACTGGTCCCAACTGAACAATCACAGTGTGTCTGGTTGTCTTCGAGCTTTGCCTTGGTGTCGGTTTCGCTCGAAAAGTCGATCCGTCGCTTGACTCTCGACTCGCAGCGTGACAAGGTGCCGTCCTCGGCCCGAATCAATTTCTCGTTCTCGTAGCGTTTGAATAGCTGCCTCAGCCGCGACAGTCGTTTGTTCGGGCTCCCTGGCAGAGACGTCTCGACGGCGTTTGACGGCGAGACAGGCTTGTCGGAAGTACAGCTCTGCGGGCTAGCGTTCCCCGGTTTCGTCTCCTCCGTGAGCGACGCCGATGCGTCCAGGCATACTGCCTCCGTCGTCGAGCCGTTCTTGTCCCGACTGCTACCTCTGAGAATGGCACCCAGCAGCACGTCTGCCTTGTTTTCGACCTCACCAGTGCTGTTCGTAGTGGATTTGCTCGACTGCTGTTGCTGCTGCTGCTGCTGCTGCTGCTGCTGCTGTTGCTGCTGTTGCTGCAGCTGAGTTTCATTAACGAGTCTGTCGTACTTCTCTCTTCGCTTGGCCATTTTTACGGCGGCGCGTCTTCTGCCGAGCGGCGTTCTGGCCCGCAGCACCGCGAGAACCTCATCGAACTCGCGCGGACTGAGGTCAAGATTGCTGCGCGATTTGAGCGGGGTACTCGAGGGCGCCGCCGGCGAGCTGGGTTTGCCATTGCCGGTGCACTCTTCGGCCGAGCCGAGAACCCTCGCGGGTACACGTGTTATCCACTCGAGGATGCTCGCCTGGTCCTGCTTGTCCTGCGATAAGGAGAGCCGCGTCATGAGCAGATCTAAATCCCCGGCGCGAGCATCCTCCATTGCTGCTGTCCTCGGCAACGCGGACTTTACCTTGTCGAGGTCGTCGGGGAGGGCTGGCCTGGCGAGCTGCGCCGCGTGGAAGGGGTTAACCACGAGGTTGAGGTTGGGGGAGGGGGTGGCGGTGCTGCTGCTCGCGGTGGAGCCGTTGGTGCTGGCGTTCTGGTTATTGACGGGCAACAACGCAGTGACGGTGTTGCCGTTGGCACTGTAAGAAACCCAGGGGATGAGCAAAGGCACGTGTGTGTTGCCGGCCGAGGCGCTGTGCTGCTGACGAGGCCTGCCGCCGCCGTACGACGAGTGTCCGCGGCTATCGGACCGCTTGTAGCGCTTCTCGCTGCTCTCCTGCTGGTCGTCGATGCTGAGTTGCGTGCGGAAGCTGCGCTCGAGGCCGTCGAGGCCGGCCGAGGCGTCGGCCGTGGCCGTGGCGACGGCGGCTGCTCCACTCGGCGGCAGCAGTGCCTCCTTGAGCGCGGGCAGACCAGACGAGCAGTGCTCCTGGCCGGTGTTGCCGGCGGTGCTGGTATGGCCGGGGCTGGGATTGCTGGCGTTGCCGGGGCTGTCGGGTGGGCGGCAGGGCAGCGAGCGGCGCCGCTTGCGCTCGCCGTTGGGCCGCTGGGCTTGGCCAACGCTCGGCTGCACCTCCTCGACGTCGTCGTCTTCTTCGTCGGCGCAGCGGCAGTGGTGTTTGCCGGGCTTGTCGCAGGGGATCTGCAGTCGATCGTCGAGCAGCGCTGCGGAAGCAAACATTGTAGCCGCGGCGGTGAGCACGAGGAGCACGACGGGGCCTGTTGGGACCTACCGGGCATCACGAGGTGGTTGTTCTGATGGTGGGCGGCGTCGGCGATGGTCTCGAGGACAGTGTTACTGGCAGATGTGCTGGCGACAAGAGTAGCCGTAGCCGAGGGTTTGGTGGGGGTGGAGGCGCGTGCGTAGTGATGTTCATGTGGCTTTGCTGGTTCCTCGGACTGTGTGAGGTGCCGTGGGCATTGCAGCCGAGGGATTTCCTCCATCCGTGGCAGAGCCCACACCGTTACCTATAACACAGTCACACCACTCATAGGCTTGATCCGCCAGCGCAGCTTTCGTGCCTTAACCATCTTCACTGGATGAATCATTTGATCGGCATATAATCTTCAAGGAAGCCTGCCTCTCGATATTACTTTGCCACAACTTCTGACATTGCAACATAATAATACAGCTTTTGTCAATATCTTAGTATAATCTGAGCTAATTTAGTTTAACGTATTAGCTTTTTTAGAATCGTTACGTTTGAATATACTTTATTCTGTTAATCGATTTGAAAAGTTCCTAGCTTACGTTAATTTTCTGATTCGCAATATATTCAAGTTACATTTTAGCTTTTCACATTGACTTTCAGTAAAAACAAATGGTCTTCGAGCTATTCTTTGAATTGAATATGGAACAGTATAGGTTATGTGCAGTTTAAGATGGTGCTTTTACATGCTGACGAAAAGTTATCGTTGTATCGAATGTGTATTACTCTCGATAAAAAGACTTTCATTTCATGGTTTATTTACAGAACAAACATTAAATGATTCAGCAGACGAATAAAAGTTTTGTTTTAAAGCCGAAATTAAGAGGAAAATAAATGTCGTATACTCATTGCTGACGCAAATTGCAATATAGCGTTAATTGCACGCTTAGCGAGATATAATTTACAAAGTGAGCCGCGATATTTCCCGGCGAAACGTGATACGATTCATAATTGTTCCGCGTGAATCAATGTATGGTCACGATAGGTCCTTTAGAACCATTCTCCGAATTTTGAAACTCGTAGGAAGCAGAATGTTCGAGAGGAAGGTTCATCGAGGCCCCGAGGCGATCGACCGAAAACTGATTCGAAGAGGCTTGAGTACGATGAAACGAGGGGGCACATGCGCGCAAAGTACGGAAGCAAGATGCGTTGATAGAACGATACCTTGATGGAATTGCCGTCGCCAGTGCCCGCGAGTGGAAAAGTGTGCTCGACCGGCGGTTCCCGGAATCTTCTCAGATGATCGTCTTGATGCTGAACGATCCTTGTGGCGACGTAGCTGGGCTTGGTGCCGTTGGTCCGTGACCACCATGCCGCTACTTGGCTGAAGTGCAGTCGCGAGCGTACCGCTTGGTACAGTCCCTGCGAGTTCATCGCTTCCTGACTCCTGTTGGAACAGAGAGTTGTCGTTATAAGGGAGCCGAGTCGGATGATCGGCGCGAGGTGGGCGACAACTTTCACAGGATGGGAAAGCCGAGGCCATCGACGATCGACCGAGCGCACTCACTTGCTGGACACCACGCTGATGGACCAGTACTCCAAGAGCATCTCGGACGAGTGCTGCTGCTGCCATGGCAGCGTCTTGTCGGGGCTGCCGAGAACGCGATGCTTGCTCTTGGACTTGCTGAGACCGCAGGCGCAATCGCTGCACAAGACCACCTCCACGCTGAGCAGCGAGCCGACGGCCACGCGCTCCGTTATCTCGCGCACCAACACCAGGTATCTGTCGCACTGTGGACAAACGCAGCGCTGCTCGACAGAAGGTCCCGAACGGGCGCCGCCAAGCGCATGCACTTACCAAGTAGTTGTCGCTGTCGCAGCTGTGGTCGTTCGGAGCGGACTGCAGGGGCGGCACGCAGTGCGGACCCTCCTTGTAGCCCCGCGGAGGGCCCTGGATTCTACCCTCGCACACCAGCACCCCGAGAGCTCGGACCACGCTGAGCACGCTGCCGCGACTGCCGAAGCCGCTCGGGCTCGCCTGCTCGCTGCTGCCGACAGTCGAGCCCGCGCCTAGGCAGTGCATTCCTGCAACGATCGACAATGAGCTGCCCGCTCGAGTGGCCCCGTTGCCGGCGCTCGCTTTGCTCCGCGAGTTCTCGCTGCGCGACCGATCGATTCGCCGAGCCGAGCGCTAATGTCGGCCGAGAGATCGGACGAGCCGATCCGTCTGACCGCACGCGCGACGAAGACAATTTTCGGATTTCCGTCAAAGTCGCGAGGTCGAGTCGCGCTGGCGTTCGACTGCGCCTCTCGAGAGAGCATTTGGCGAGAGAGATTGGCCACCGGTCAATCCGTGGCAAGGTTGTCGGCTGAGGGCGACAGTCGAGAAGCGCGCGTCGCCTCAAGGTCGCGCGTGCGACCGGCGAGAGAGGCGCTGGCGCAGGACGACCGGCAGGCAGGCAGGCAGGCAGGTGCCCGGGCGAGGAGGAGCGGCCCGTCGCCGCGGTTGGCTGGAGCGGCGCGCGCGGCCGCGGGTGCACCGGCGACGAGCCTATAAATAACCGAGGCGCGCCAAGTGCGTCGGCGCGACGCGTGGCGCGCGCGCGCACGCGAGAGCGAGAGGCCGCCGTTCAAAAATAAAGCGAACGGTCAAGCAAGAGCTGGCCGCGAGCGGCGATGTTGTAAGCTGCGACCTTGCCAGCCACGGCGAGCGGCCGCCGTCGTCCGCGGCCTTGCTCTTGGCACTTGGGCCAGAGCAGCGCGGCGTCGGGCTCGCGATCGACGTCGGCGCGCTGGAACGAGTCGGCGCCCTGTGGGCCGGTCGTTCAACTGGCGGCCGATTGTTTACGAAGGAGAGACAGTGCCGGAGGGGCCCCTGCCCTTTCGCGACCGAATCTCGAGCGAAGCCCCCTGCCGCGCCTCCCTCGGCGTTCGGCAGGGGGCGGGCGGGCTGTCACGGAGCGTCGCGCTCGACCGATGAGCCGTACTTCTGGCGAGCGATATGCACGGAAGAGGTGTAATCGTATAGACGCCCGCCGGAGGTTGCCGCTGATAAGTTCTTGGAAAGCGAAAGACGCAGGTACGTATAGGCATTTACGAGGCAGGCTGGCCGAAACAGCGAAAGAGAGCAGAGCGGCAAGGACGAGGGGAGAGGCGGTTTCGTGCCTCGCTGAAATGTGTCGAAGAGGGAGTAGCAGCCCGAGACCGAGGCAGACAAAGAGATAAATGGGCAGTCGCGAGCGAGAGGAGCTGCAACAGCCGGCGAAAGAACTAGCGAACGAAGACGAGGAGGAGAAAGAAAGAGTCGTTAAAGAGGGAGACACTCTCTCGCTCTCTCGTTTTCGCCAGTGTACGTACGTATATGCAGGCGAGAAAGGGGGAGAAGACAGCGACGTACGCGAGAAGCGGACAGCGGCAGCAGGGTCAGCAACCCGCGAGGAGCAACAAACTGGCGAAGCCTCGACTGATCGCGCTCGTGTGGCTTTCAGCTGCGCGCAAAATAAGAAAGACAGAGAGAGAGAGAGAGAGAGAGAGAGAGAGAGAGAGAGAGAGAGAGAGAGAGAGAGAGGGAGGGAGAGCTTTTTCTGCAAACGCGACGTCCGCGGCCGACGGAGCACCAACCTGTTCGACGCCTCTACTGTACGCCAATACACATCCGTAGCGATGCGACAAAACGAGAATGAAAAATAGCCACTGCACCCACGGACGTTCGGTCTCTCCCTTTGCTTTCTATACTTGCGCCGCGCCGCTGCCACCAGCCACATTGCACTTGCGAGTGCGTAGCACGTATCGGCCAGCGGCCCTCCGCCTGCCTCTCGCTATAGTCGCTCAACGGAACAAAGGCTTAACGCACAGCGGCGGCGACGGCGGCGGCAGCTGTGTGCCAATGAATTTGCGACAAAAACACTCGCTAGTCAGTGTTGCTCGGAGAGCAGCTGAATAGAACGACGACCCGATGGCGCACACCGATAGCCAGGCAGCCGGGAGATCGACAAATTGAAAGTACCGAACGACATGCGTACCGAAGGGCCATTTCGTCGTACCGTTCAGTCGGAACAAAGGCTGGCCGACCGTAAAAAGTTAAAGAGCCGCGTGAACTCGCGGCGAGCAGAGGCGACGTCGGCTCATCGGCAGCCAACGGCCAAGAGGCGTCTTTGAAGGTGTACCCTCGAGGATCGACAGGCAATGCTGGGGCGAGCGAGTGGGCCTCGTCGAGTCGAGTGCACGACCGAAGAAGAGGGCCAAATTGGAGGAGAAAGAGATGAAACAAACGGCCGGGGGCAGGGGCGACGCGCGCTGCGCCAGGCGGGGGACGGCAGCGGCGAGGAAGGAGAAGCCAGCCGCGCTGAAGGTTTGGGGCAGCAGCGAGACGAGGGGAGGGCAGGACCACGAGCAGCCGACAACAACAACGCCAGCCGCGCGGCTCTGCCTGGACATTTCGGCGAGTCCATGACCTTTCTCTCTCGAAGCTTCCGCGGCGCAGGCCTGCGCGAGCGAAGCGGCCCACTTGACGAGGCAAGCCTGTAGCTGCCGCGATGATTAAGGGCAGCTCGAGCAGGCTTTGCTCGCACCTCGCCGCCCGCCTCTCTCTCTCTCTCTCTCTCTCTCTCTCTCTCTCTCTCTCTCTCGCCGCGCCTGGCTATACGAGCCGTCCAGAAAACGTAGCCTGCGACTCGCTGCGGCGCGCCGCCTTCCTTCGGTGGGTCCGCTGCTTTCGGGCTGCTCGGTCCACCTACGCGGCCTCTACTCCGTTCGCGAGCACGCCTCGGACCACCGAAACGCTCAACGTCTTCGCGAACGTCCCGTCGACGTCTCGAGCGCGCTCTGCGCCGACTCGTTCGCTCTACGGCTTCTGCCTCTATGTACAGCGTCTCTTGCATCACCTTGCCGTCTACTCCGAGGCAGCTTGTCCCAGATCTAACCTCCAGATACGACTGAGTGGCTTCTGCTCTTTGCCTTTTTATCGGCTTGCGCCTGGTCAAATCGTTATCTCGTTACCTGCCACGTATTTGCCAAACACTTTACTTCCTCTCTCTCCTATTGCACCGTTTGTGCAATTGCGCGCGGACCTCTCGTCGATAATCTGCTATCTCGATTCTGCTGTCATTAACGAATTTCATAGCGATCTATGCCGTTCATTCCGAAAATATCCCTTGATTTCAAATCGTTGGGCTGAATTACACTTAACTTTCGGATAAAGTGCTTTCGCTCAATATTTTCCGGTATTAAAATTTTAGGTGTTCATAACTAATAAATGTACAATGTCTATCCTAAATAATATTGAAAATATTGAAACTCGAAATGTGTCAAGAGATGACAAATGAGAGCTGACGAGTTGATCCCAGTTGGAGCAAAAATTTGTTGGGTTATACGATTATAAATGAAAGAAAATTATCGTCCAATTAAGAAAAGTAGCTGCCAGGCATTTAAAACCGTACAAACATCGAATTATACGTCGTGAAACCTGTTTCCTACATTCCTTTTTTAATAGCACGACCACGTTATAGAAGGCGGAACTCGTTTGCATGAAGCATAGAATTATTAATAATCTTTTTCCCGGTACGCTATTGGAAAGACTTTTCGCAGATCGGCACAAAAGATCTGGCACAGAAGACTTTCTTTGTTGGCGAAATGTACGTGGATCGGAAAGTTTACTTTTAGAAGACGAATAACTTGTTGATCGCGATGCGCAAGGCGTTAATTGAAAGAATTGGAGAGACAGAAAGGCCGTAGAGGCAGATTGAGTAGGTCGATAAGTAAACGCGCGAGCGGCAAAAAGCAAGCGGCGGCAGCGAAATCGCGAGAGCTGCTACGGAGGAACGAAGCGCTCGTCGTTGCGACGATTGCAAGGAATGCGGAGCAAGGGGAAAGCTCGGTTGGTCGGTCGCTAGGAGACTGCCACTTGTGGAACGTGGAAGCCTTCGACAGCGAGCCACCACAGCGGCGGCGGCGGCGGCGGCGGCGGCGGCGGCGGCGGCACATTGGAGAACGAGACCGAGAGCCGAGCGTTGCGTCGCGGTCAATGGGCGAAACAGCGATTTCCGCTGCTGGCAGGCTATTTTCGGGCGGCATTGGGCCGACCAGCGACTCTAGCGGAGCGCGCGCGACCTCAAGATCGCGCGAGAATAACGTCGAAAGGGGGGCCGATCTCGAGCCTGCCTATCCAGTCGCGGAATCACGCTCTCGTCGCCCTCGATCGTCGCTCGCGACCTAAGGCTACGGCTCTTTTCGGCTGGCGGCGATGCACTTCCCATTCTATTTGCCGACGCAAACGGAAGCCAACTCTGGCCGCGGTCTCGGATCGTCGCAGCTCGCAGTTGAGAGCACGCACGGAGAGAGACAAAATCAGCCACTTTGCCTCGAATAAAATCTCGTCGGTTTTTTCGCAACGCGGCCCCCCATTCGTTTGCTCGCGCTCGGCGAGACGGGCGCGCGCGCGCGAGTGAAATATTTATTTCCGGAAAGCACAGCGGCGAGCGCGATCGTCAGCGCGACGGGTCGACTACGCGCCGCGCGGTTCCACGATTATTCCGTTGCGCGGCCCGTCCGCGGGGCACAGTGAAAAAGTGGCCCCGGCACGGTTTTCGGGGGCCGATGGACACTCGTAGCGAGCCGCCGATGCCGGTTACGCGCGGTCGACTCGCTCGTTACGTAACGAGTGCGCCGTGCCGTCGTCGGCACAGCAGACTGAATTAACCGGATCGGCCCGGCCGCCGCGTTACGCTTCCAATCGGCAACGTAGCGAGCACTCGACCTGACGGTCGCTTGCTTTTGGCTAATGGCCAGCTGCATGCGTTACGAGTTATTGCGCGCGAGCAAAGTGCAGCTGCCTATTTAACGGCTGCAGTAACGAGGAGCATTCAGCGCGGGCTGTAACCATTGACGAGCCGGAGCCAGCTTTACGTGCACGCGCCGTCTATCTTGTTTAGCTTTGCGATGCAACTACTGGGCGTCGACTAAGCGCACGTTTCTGGCTTTTTGCTCCGTCTTTTCGGCCTCGCTCTCCTATCTCTCTAGTCGTCATTTAACTCTTTCCCTTGATCAATTCACGTCTTTTTACGAAGCTCGCGACCACTGTCATGATT